CAGTGCAGCTGTGTGGTCACTCAGACGTCCAGTTTCAGGGCTGTTTCCACACCTGCCTTACACAGGTGGGCAGTAAGGTGGGGGGGGTCGGCTGTCATACAGTAGCAGCCACGCCAACCTCAGTGAGATAATCATGCAGACTTTGTGACGCAGAATGTATATTAATAAATTCCGAGAATAACTGTGTGTCTGTGAGCTTTCGACACTTTTCAAATGATGGTTCTTTAGTAAAGAAAACGGTTCTATATAGAACCATGAACACTCAAAGAACCCTCTTCATGATTAAAGGGTTCTATACAGCGTCAAAAAGGGTTTTTCTACTGTTACGATGTCAAGCTTGTAATAATGAAAGAATCCTTTTCAAAAAGGTTCTATAAAGAACCATGTTCTTTACTCTAGAACTCTTGAAGAACCATCTTTTTTGTGTACAGAACCGGAGTTTACTGTCTTTATTTTGCTATTTTTAGCTGGTAAGTGTGTTTAATAAATAAACTCACTGAACACAGTGAAGTGAATCAAAGGTAGAGCAGATCAAAGTGTTTTAAACAGATGATCAGACGTTATCAGATGTTGTTTTGAGGTTCAGCTGATAAAGCTGGTTGACGCGGAGCTGCTAAGAGTGAGAGCTGCGGTACTGCCCCCCCCCCTCCCCCCAACCACCTCCCAACTCCCTCAGCCAATCAGAGAGCGTGTGTTTTACATATTCTCTCATAAACTCTTATTTTGGAAGTGCTGTATGTAAAAACACTGTAATGTTCTACAGTAAAATGCGGCTGTAACAGTTACGAGCTGACAGAGCGGAACAGGAAATGAAGATACACAGACGACAGCAGAAGAACAGATCACAGCTCACTGAGCTTCAAATCACTGGAGCGTTAAAAGAGCCTTGAGTCTAGACCCCCTGAGTTAGAGTCTAGACCCCTGAGTTAGAGTCTAGACCCCCTGAGTTAGTGTCTAGACCCCCTGAGTTAGCGTCTAGACCCCCTGAGTTAGAGTCTAGACCCCCCTGAGTTAGCGTCTAGACCCCCTGAGTTAGCGTCTAGACCCCCTGAGTATAGATACTGTCAGAAACAGAATCTGTTCTGATACGTAGATACAAACATACCCAAAATATAGAAATATATATGTTGTGTAATATATAAAGTTAATTCTGGATGTTTTGTGCTAAATGAGAGTTGATTTAAATGCGGTGACAGTTCTATGGTCGTGTTCAGGTTCCACCAGAGCGCTGTATGAGAAGAAGCTGAGGGAGGCGATGGCTAAAGAGAGGAGAACTAACCCTCCATCAGACCGACGGTTCTACAGAGAGGAGGGTGAGACCAGAACGATCCCGTTCAGTGATGGAGATTCTGTTTATCATATTTATATTAAATCTATTTATTCTGAGGGGTTTAAATCTCACAGTGATTTGGTTTAATTCAGTTCATCATTAATAAACTAATTTTATTGTGATTTTTGTGGTTACATTTTGAAAATAACCTGAGAATAAATTTAGATTTACTGATTACTCATTTTAATAATAATTGTGAATTAACTGTAATTATTACTTTACAGCAGAGGACGTCACTTACATCCATCATCGCAAACCTGTGAGTTGTTATTATTGTTATTATTATTATATCAGTTATTCCTTTATGTGAGTTATTAAAGTGATTTGAGTCTGATTGGACGTTTAGAATGATTATAATGTCTGTTCTGATTGGTCCAGTTGAGACAGGAGCATTTTGGTGATAAATGGAGGTAAATTAATAATTTAATTTTAATTTCTATTTTGATCTGAATGTTCTGTAACGTCACAAAACTGAGAACCTCATTTCTAATGTGAACCAGGACAAACCCGGTTCTGCTGCCTGAATATGAAGAACTGGACACTGTTGATGAGTAAGTGTTCTCTTTATGGTTCATCACAAATATAATAATAGTAATAATAATAATAATACTTTTACGAATGTTATATTCCAAACAGAACGTGTCACACACAGAGGCAATAACAGATTTATAAACACTTGTACTAAAATATCAACCAAGCCAATTAAAAACAGGAAGAGAAGAATAAATAAATAAGTAAACAGTTGTTTGTAAACACCGCAGGCCAGTCGTGTTCAGAACTCAGAGGAATCTGTCGACGCAGAGATACGAAACCCAGCGCGAGCCGCCCACTGAGAGACACTCGGGCCGGTTCGTCCCGCTGTGGCTGCAGGTTCTGCTATTTGTGATGGTGGTCGCAGTTCTGCTGTTTATCTTCATCAACATGGAACCAGCAGAGACGGAACCGTTCAGGAGACTCACGTAGGAGACGGAGAAGCCTGTTTCAGATCACGTTCAGATTTGTGAATGTAGTGTTTTTAAACTGAACTCTATAAACTGGATTTATTACAAACGTGTTCAGACTTCACGGCTCACTGTACCGCAAATACTATTATTATTATTGTAATTTTATTATCATCATTTTTGTTTACGGCAGCTGAACAAAACACCAGCAGAGACGCGTCGCCTGTCGTTCTGTTACAGGAAGCACCTGTTTCAGAAATAATCCAGCCTGACAGTCAGAAATAGGAAATATCAGCTCTGAGATTATTTTAACACGTTTTGAGATTTCGATGTTTTATATAAACCATTACTTCATTACTGCATTACTTTATAAACAGCTTTGTTGGATTGCAGAAACGTGGAGCTGTGATTGGTCAGGAGAATCATAGCACACAGTAAACAGCACTGTGATTGGTTCGGGACTCATTTGCATATTCAGTCTTCTGTGATGTCAGTAGGCTGTTAAAGATATATATTATATATTGTATATACACACATTCACGTATTATGGCCAATATCACAGTAACGATTAATAAATGACGTCTCGTGCAGCAAATTGTTAAACAGCTGAATAAATTTATTTCAGATCTTCTGAATTTTGTCTTTTTTCTTTAAAGCCGGTCCGGAAAACGTGAAACAGTCAAGAAACGTCATGAAGAATAAATTTCTACTTTTATGTGTAAATAAAGTGTCTCTGCTCTCACTTTCATTTCCTGTTCATCCTGTAATGATTCTGTAGGAACAGTTCTATCATGTTTATAAACTGTATAACTGATTAGTTGTTTCTGATTCAGTGACGTTTTTTACACGTCTCAGTAAATCTGCTTGAAGGTGGCAGAAATTATGAAATAGAAACAGGAAATCTTTAAAATTCTGTTTGTAATAAATAAATATACACTTTTATGAAAACAGAGACTTTTAATGTTTAATGAAAAATTCGGTCAAAGTATCAAAAAGATGGACTTTTGAAATTTTTAAAACGACTGAACTGTAATTGACCTCAGCATCTCCGACAGAGAACGTTCAGCATAAACGAAGGATTTAAAGCCTTTAGATTGTTTATAGAGGAGCTGCATGAGGAGAAACTGATGCAGACATAAGCACTGAATTACATATTTATAAAGCAACACTCAGCATTTATAAAGTTTATAAATATTTGTGTGATGATGTTTTGTAAAAAAAATTACTTAGCACTGACAAACTGTATTACACTAAAGACATTTATTCTGTTTGTAACACTCTTATAAGCGTTTATTAAACAGGTGTAATAAAGATCCCACATATTCAGCCTCAAATTAAAGTGATCATTTAATTTACATGATCAATTTACAAACAAAAACATGAAAATTGTAATTTTAGTCATAATGATGTAATCCTCCACAGAACTGATGTGTTATACATGCTTCTGAGTTTATTACATGTGAATGATGCTTCATAACAGTGTTATAAATACAACAAACGTCCATCACGCTGAGTCTTTATGTAAATACAATGTTATTTCTTTCATTGTTCATTTCGTTGTTAGTTTTGACTGAAGTGCAGTCAAATAGCTGCAGCGTTCACTGACTGGCCACTGCGTTCAGTCCACTTTATTGTATCTGCACTCACTGTCCGATTTATCAGCTCTACTGACCATCTAGGAGCACTGCTGTGTCTGATCCACTCGCACCAGTGCAACACACACCAACACACCACCACCAGTGTCACTGCAGTGCTGAGAATGATCCACCACCCAAATAGTACCTGCTCTGTGGGGGTCCTGACCACCGAAGAACAGGGTAATCAGATGTGAACAGAGTGAAACTATACAGTCAGTGGAGCTGATAGAGTGTAATTAATGACGTGTCCAGTCGCTGGACGCTGTCTTTGACAGACCCGGCGTTTAAGTTTACAGCAGTTTAGCGTTTATTTGAGTTAATTGTTTATTCACCTGTAAACTTCAGACTTTCTGCATAAATGAGCTTTTTTAGAAATCTTCACTTCATGACCCTCATTCTGATAATTACACGCTGCTTTTGATCATAATGTGAAGATAACATCGCAAACTCAGATGAAACGGAAGCTGTTCAACACCTTCCTTAATTAAAGTGACAGTTTAACACAAAATTCCACCCATGTGACCCACCTCACCCCCCCATTCATCAGTTAATTATCTTCTCAGCGAAGCTCGTTCTGCTCGTTAGTTTGTGCTGATGATGCTCGTGATTCATTCATGTGACGTTACTGAGTAGGATGTGTTCATGAGGGTCATTTCAGGACGCCGGTTCATCACATTAATGACAGATTTGAGTCACCTAAACGAGTGTGAACCATCGAGTCAGAGAGATCGGATTTGACCAACAAGGCTTGTAATGTGAGCGTTTCATTACTCACTCAGTACTCACACTTACACATTACTCATTACACATTACTCACTCATTACTCACCCATTACTCACTCATTACTCACCCATTACTCACTCATTACTCACCCATTACTCACACATTACTCACCCATTACTCACTCATTACTCACCCAAAACTCACACATTACTCACTCAGTATTCATATTACTCTCAGTACTCACCCATTACTCACTCACTACTCAGCCAAAACTCACACATTTACACATTACTCACATCTTACCCAAAACTCACACATTACTCACCCAAAACTCACTCATTACTCACTCAGTACTCACATTACTCTCAGTACTCATGTGATGTTACGTGTTTATTGTGATTTTTTAGACACTCTTGAGTGAAATGTGTGTTTTTCTGTAAGGAATGTTGTTGAACACCATAAACTAAAATCATTCACCGTTACAGGAATAATTCTGTTTATAATCTGTTAATAAGCTGTTTATATTTCGGCTAACTGGCCGATTTAGCCGAACAGACGTCATCGCTGGCTTCGTTAGTGCTGTTTCAGTGGAGCGGCTCTGCACAGTGCTGAAGGTACAGTTTTCCTGGCCTTCCATGACTGACGCATCAATGGAGGCTTTGTTCAGAATAAAATATAAAAAAAAATCTATTAATAGTAATAATAATTATAATAATAAAAACTGAAGTAGAAAAAAATAAATAACACAACAAAGCAAAAGTATAAACGTACAAAAACCCACATTTCACAGCTTGGTGAAAGTGACTGTGACAGTCTGGAAGACCTTTTTCACAACTGACTCCAGAAATATTTCAGAAAAATCCAGAAGCCCTCCTCTCGTTAGCCAGAGTCAGAGTTACGGTTTCGGTCCTGATTGAAGTGACGTGCTGAAAAGCTGAAAGAACTCTCAGTCTAAAAGTCTTACAAAATAAAAGTGTGGACTTCCTGTAAGAACCCCTCTGTGTTAGTGCTGAAAATGCGGCTTTAAGGGTCTGATTTGTCTTTTAGAGTTTATAAAGATCCCAGCTGAGGAGCTTCTTACAGCTTTGGTTTATTCTTCATCTGCGATTTGGTCAGCTTGGAGTAAAAACGTCCAGAGTTTGGATCTGTAATTACAGAGAAACATTTACATTAAACAGCCCATCTGGTTCAGTGCTTTATGCTCTTATAAACGACAGTAAATAAAGGTATTTGTGTAAAACATGTTTCCTTACCGCTTGTCATTCTCCTGTTATTTAATGGTCAGGGCGATGTACGTGTTGTCCACACCTGCAGCAAAGAGTCACAACGTTAAACTCTATTCTGTATAGAACAGGTTTCAGTATCACAGTCTAGAACTGGAACACAAAGACTTTAATCACTGACGTTTGGACTGCGCTGCCCGACTCGAGCAGATACTCATGTTCGGATCCTGAAAAGCCACCGCACAGTTCACAGTGGAACATTCAGGGCTTTACACCCCTTTACACTGCTTTGCATCTATTTATACTGCTTTACACCCCTTTACACTGCTTCACGTTTATTTATACTGCTTCACATTCATTTATACTGCTTTACACCCCTTTACACTGCTTCGCGTTTATTTATACTGCTTCACATTCATTTACACTGCTTTACACCCCTTTACACTGCTTTGTATTAATTTATACTGCTTTACACCCCTTTACACTGCTTTGCATCTATTTATACAGCTTTACACCCCTTTACACTGCTTTACATTCATTTACGTTCACTGCTTTACACCCCTTTACACTACTTTACACCCCTTCACACTGCTTTACACCGCTTTACATTCATTTACACTGCTTCGCATTAGTCTACACTGCTTAACACCTGATGCAGTAAATGTATTCAAATCAGGCCTATAATATGTAATTCTTTCTGGAATTCACTGTAATCAATATTATTAATATTACTTATTAATAATATTGATTAAAAATAATGTATATTATTATCAACATTATTAATACTCTCACGCTGACGTACTGGTCTATAAGAAGAGTTTATAACAGTACTGATTATTGATCCTGATTGTAGATGAAGGTGAAGTTACTCACAGGTTCTGGACTCGCGCTCCAGCTCGGTGGGCTTCCGCACTCTCTTACAGTAAACTTTAGCCACAATCAGGATGGCACACGTTGCCATGACGAAGGTGAGACCGGACACCAGTAGGCTGATGACCACAGGGCTCAGAATCGGGTCAGCTCCTGAGAACATACATGTTTTTGTGGTATTTGTGAAACAAACAGTAAAGTTTCATATTTAACCAGATTTTACTGTAAAACAACTTTAACTGATGAACAATTATTACAGAAAATCAACCCTCTGGAGTCAAAGAACACAACAGCGCATCAAATTAAACGCTTCTGTGTTTATATTAATATCTTTGTGATGATCCAGCACAGAAATCCAGTTCAAACACTTCCTGAATCTGTAGAGCCGCCCCTTCCATTGCATCTTATCACGAGATCCAGATTTATGAGCCTATGAAGAGGAGCTGAGGGGCACTGAAATAATCCACTCAAGGTGACTCGGTACCTCGAACGTTGATGGCCAGCGGCTGACTCTCTCTGGAGACGAACGTGCGTCCGCCGAACTGGACCTTGTAGAGGCAGCAGTAGTAGCCCTCGTTGGAGGCCTGTGCGTTTGAGAAGCTGAAGGTGACGAAGGGCGCAAGGGCGGGCAGAGAGTGGCGCACGGTGCCGTTGGGTCGGATCAGGCGGAGCTGGAAGGAGCCGCCCGGATACTGCGGCTGCGTGGAACAGGTCACGTTAAAGCTCTGCCCTCGGTTCACCCAGCCGGGCCGCACCGACGGAGACGCGTTATACCAGATCTGAGGAGTGTGGATCTCCACTGCACACCGGAACAGACACAACAACACAACACACTGAGATTCAGTCTCACATCACTAACACACAGACACACAAACACACACACACACACACACACAAACACACACAAACACACAAACACACACACACTCATACACACACTAACACACATTCACACACACACACTAACAAATTCACACTAACACACACACCCTAATTTAGTTGATCAGCCAAAACATGTTTTGGAGGAAGTTTCCCACTTTAGTTTTACCCTGGAGTCTGTGACGTGTGACACTAACTGGAGGGTATAAACTTCCATTATGTGTTAGCTACAATAGCCTCGTAGTTCCAGAGCTAAAACTAAATAACCTGGGGCTCCCAACCTTCCAGGAGAGCACAGTGGTCCTCTCTGTCTCTGGGTGGGCAGGACGGCCCCTCATAGCGATGCTAGTCAGCACAGGCGTCTGTTAGCCGGTGTAACAGATCTGCTGGTCAGTGTCTCCTCCGAGCTCGTTCAGCTGTACAGTGATGCTGCGTTGTGGCAGTTTGTAAAGATGTGGTGGAGCTTCACAGAACTCAGAGGAAGACCTCCTAGAGCTGGTGGTCTCGTGTGATTGGGGGAGACAGAACTAGTGTGTGGAGCTGGATACGAATAAACTGGGAAGATGATTTGGGGGAAAAAAGTTACAAAAGAACCAAACGTGTCTTGGCTGATCGACTATGACTGAACTGTCGCTTCAGGTAAACAGTCTCAGATGGAGTTTCTCACTGTTAAGTGTCAACAATTCACACTGATCTTAAACAGTCCACTGAACGCTCCAACCAAAGTGCATCAACACACTTTTATTAACTCAGCAAATGTAACAGCGCTTTAGATGGACACTGAATAAATCACGAGTTCTTCTAGAATCGAATACACATCTCACAGTGATGAGGGAAAAGTTCACTTTTCCTTTAATTCAATTATTATCGCCGACTGAAAGGAACTCGCCCTTCTCCTCACCCAGACAGCAGATCAGTTGTTCTCAGGAGAAGCTGACGGGACACAGACGTTTTAGCTGGTTCTGTCGCTCAAGCTCAGAGCTGGAGTTCTGCTCATGTCTGTGTTTCTGTTCTCCCACACAGATTAAAAGCTGAATCAAACGTGTTTGAGCCAGAAAACACACCGATGTCCCAGAACTGGATCTACTGGATCAGAACTGACAAACGGCCTGAACATTTAAATACTTTACAGTACAAAACTACACATGATAAAGAGCAAAGAAATCATAAAACTGAGCAGAACCATTAAACTATTATTTACTTAAAAATTAAAGAGCTCTATAATGTTCATATGATCCACACAGTCACTCTGACAGACTGTAATACACGACAGGAAGTGTAGGGGGCGATATGGCTTCTACTGTTTCATTTAAAAAGTCTCTATAATGTTCATATGATCCACACAGTCACTCTTACAGACTGTAATACACTACAGGAAGTGTAGGGGGCGATATGGCTTCTAGTGATTCATTTAAAAAGCCTCTATAATGTTCATATGATCCACACAGTCACTCTGACAGACTGTAAAACACTATAGGAAGTGTAGGGGGCGATATTTTTGCAGATATATAAGAGAATAGAGGAACCGAAGAGGCAGAACAGTTATATTAATTGAACGATAGATTTATTGATTTTGGTTAGCTGAAGCGCTGAACGCTGCCTGTTCACTTACAGACGGTGATGTTGATGATGTTGCTGGACGGTGAGTTGCCGGGGTTGCCCTGGATACGGTACAGACAGCTGTAGCTGCCCTGGTGAGATGTTTCCAGTTCAGAGAGGGTCAGCTCCACTCGAGTCTGTCTCAAATCTGCCCGCTGAGTCACCAGAGGAGTGTCCACACCGCTCTTATACAGGTGGACGTCTATGGGGTGGCGCCAGTAGGGGGCAGTGCAGGTGAACAGCACCGCCTCTCCGGCTGAGTAAGCAGAGAACGGCGACTGCATGGTCAGCGTGGGCGCAGGTAGCTTACCTGTTCAACACAGACACAAACTGGTTAGCACTACAAGAGCTCAATACATTAAACTATTAAACTACTCACTGACTAATAAACAGAATACAGAGCTCTTCAGAGTCTCCAGGTCGTCAGAGTCTGAGCGTTTATATCTGACATTAGATTAATGTTTTTAATGACAGTCCTGGAGCAGCTCTGCTCTGCTAATGAACTTTAGTCCCTGTTTACAGATCACAGTGAATCATACAGTGTCAGAAACCACACAATCAAGGCTGTGTTCAGACTGCAGGCGAACCGGATTCGTTTCTCAAATCAGGTCTTTTGAGTCTGTCTCTGTTATTTACAAGTGATCAGATCAGATTTGTGTGTCCAGACATCACCAGTCTATCTGCATGGGTTGCCGTGGTAACGACATAGGCATCAGTAACTACGTAGCTACGCAGGTAACGTGGATTTTAGTCGCAGATGCGGGAGAGATGGAGGAGCATTATCTCCCCTCCAAACTCTTCAGAACTCTCTTCATCATCATGAATCTTTGGAGCTCTTCTTGAATCCCAGAACTTCATCACTCTGGATTTGACATTGTCGCTGTTTGTTGTGTTGCAAGTGACAAAAAAGACTTGGAAAAAAAAGAAAATCTGATTTGAGCGTCCAGAGCGTCCAGACTGAGACACATCTGTACAAATCTGACTGGAGTCGCATTTCAAAGCTTCTCCAAATGTGGTTTGAATCTGATTCTCGAACATCAGATTTCACATGTTTTTTTCTGTCTAGACCATCAAAAATCAATCTGGATATGACAGAAATCAGATTTGGGCTGCAGTCTGAACACAGCCTATGACTATGAGAGATTACTGAGCACTTCCACCCAGTTTAAGGTAGAAGCTGGAGTTGAAGCCTTCTTATTTAAATTCTCTGTTCCACCTTAACCAGTGCAGCAGTTGCATTCTGGTACCCGAGGCGGCCGAACAGAAAGCAAACCTCACAAACACGTTAGTGGTGAGTGTGTGATGATGTAGTCATACAGTTAGCACCATGTTGATTGGTGGGGTATAAGATTATTAGCTGTGTGATCCAGCTCACCTGTGCACTCCACTCCCGCGTCCTCGTTGTGTGAACACACTCCATCGTTGAGGGAACGTTCACAGAGGTCCAGCGTGAACTCGTCCCCCGAACAGCGGACGTTCCTCCACCACACCTCTCCGCTGAAGCGGCCAAAGTGCGCGCCGCCGCGAGTGGCGAAGGCGAAGCCGCAGTCCAGCTCCCTGCAGACCACCGCCGCGTCCCGCAGGTCCCACCCACGCGAGCACACCGTCCCCCACTGATGACCCTGATACACCTCCACTCGACCGGAGCAGCGGAACCCGTCCGCACTGCCCAGCCGCACCCGCACCTCATCTACAACACCATCACAATAACGTTACAGCACATCAGCCTGCAGCACTTTAACCCCGCCCACTCAGACTGAAGTTATAAGGAGTGTTTCAGCTCAGACTGCTTTCTTAACGAGGCGCAATACACAACAGAGCTCATTTACATATATCAGTCCAAAAGGCACAGAAACAAAGTCAGCCTGTTTTGAGGGGAGAAGTTGGAAAACCATTAAAATCATTAATTATGATTGTTTTGGCTCATAAAACCACACAAATGTTCTAAGTGACCCCAAGAGAGGGAAAAATATAATATGCAAAAAACGTGGGATACAGGCTGTTTAAGATTTACCAAGTCAGTGTTTTTTCTGCTGAAGCACACCTGATAATCTCCAGGTTTATCTGGTGGAGCAGGAGACCACCAGGCTGTTCTAGACTGCAGGACCGTTAAATACAGCTGATCTAAACCGTATAAACGGTATGGATGTGGATGGTGATGTAAAGGGACCAACTCACCAAATCCATGAACATCCAGAACAGCAACGCTGCAGCCTGTCAATCAACAACAGCACCTTATTATCTTTTACATCAAATTTACAGACTTCATTTTCATCACATTCCCACAGAACACAGCCACTTTAAGCGAAAGACAAATTCCAGTGCAACGATTTCTCAAAATTCCTGCATAATTAAGTGGTTAAGATGTAAACAGAGTGGTTCAGAGTGGTTTGGTGTGAAATGCTCTGTTCTAGATAAACTTACCGAGTCAGAACTGTTCACAGTGGTGGTGATAGGAACCAGACGTCCACCTCTAAAAGCTCCCTTACAGAAAGTTCCTACATGAAATGGTTATGAATTCACTGCCTGATGACTGAGACACTGTTTTATGGTAGTTTGGAGAACTTAAACTCCATTCATGGTGGAGGGATACATGCAGGGCGCTGTGAGGCAAAATAGTCCCCAAAGAAAACTTATTATTTCAGATTTTCCACTATTTTCCATCATCAACATTCCATATAAACTCAGAAGACTCGTGTAGGTTCACTGGTGGTTCTGGATAGTAAATAAAATGTCTATATCTGTGTTGTAGTCATGGCGACCCCTGGTTCCTATCACCACCACTGTAAAGACATCTGAACCATTTCACACCAAACCACTCTGAGTCACACTGTTTACAGTTTACACACCGAGTTATGGAGGAATTCAGGACAATGGGTGGAATTCCCCTTCCTCCACATATCACCTCTCAGATCTCTGGGTCTGTGGTTAAAGCTGTGCTTTTATTAAGCTAAATAAACAGTGAAGCAGAGCAGCTGAATGTGCTGAATGTGCTGTACTGACCCAGCAGGGTGATGATCAGGAGACTGTTCTCCATCCTGGATCCATAAGAGAGCCTTACGGCTTCAGTAACAGCTGGAGGACAGCAAACTGTCCGGCTACAGACAAAGCTGACCAGCAGAAATCTGCAGCTCGAATCTCTCCAACAGAACTAAAACATCTCTGATACTCAGCATATTAGTTAGCTAGCTATGCTAAGCTAAACTGCTCCATAGAGATACAATAGTGCTGAAGCTAAGCTAGCTTGCTTGGTGCTAACTAATCAGCTTCAGCTGTAAAAAGACTTTAGCAGCGAAAA